CGATGATGATGTGGCAGATAGCATGTGTAACGTTTCATGACGGACATATAATTTCCGTAACGTGTCGGTCGCAGGCTTATTCAGTGTAATCAGCAACGTGACCGTATACTAGCGGATCCAAAAAGTGGATTAGAGTTTCAAGTTTGTTAGGTGTAGAGGGTTCGATGGTGTCTAGATAGGTGTCGAAGGTAGGAAACCAGTGATTTCAGCGTTTTGTTGCATTTATGGAGTTTTGGTCGGCGTCGAAGAGCCGAGGTCGTAGTTGCGGGCGTCCATTGGGGTCTTAAACAAGTAAACTGAGACGTTTAGAATATGTCCGAGATTGAGTTAAAAGAGCGTGTGATTTATCGAGGCTACACAATGTTTTATTTGTCTACGAACAATCATGGTCTAGTAACGGTATTCACCTCAGCTTAGTTCTTGGTCTGAGCCTCCCAGGCTAGCGTTCACGTCAGAACCACTAAAGGTGCACAACGAATATTAACGCCAAAAACGGAGTCAATAGCACTTGTACAGCGCTCTCTCTTTCTGGAAATTCTGACGCCTGGGTGCGTCATTGGCATCCGGTATTCGGCCCATACTGAGCCATGATTTGGTTGTTGAGTCCAGATTTTCGGCCAATAAGATCTCGGCTTGATGCCAGACCGACAGGCGTCCCGAACTTCCATTGGGGTCTTAAACAAGTAAACTGAGACGTTTAGAATATGTCCGAGATTGAGTTAAAAGAGCGTGTGATTTATCGAGGCTACACAATGTTTTATTTGTCTACGAACAATCATGGTCTAGTAACGGTATTCACCTCAGCTTAGTTCTTGGTCTGAGCCTCCCAGGCTAGCGTTCACGTCAGAACCACTAAAGGTGCACAACGAATATTAACGCCAAAAACGGAGTCAATAGCACTTGTACAGCGCTCTCTCTTTCTGGAAATTCTGACGCCTGGGTGCGTCATTGGCATCCGGTATTCGGCCCATACTGAGCCATGATTTGGTTGTTGAGTCCAGATTTTCGGCCAATAAGATCTCGGCTTGATGCCAGACCGACAGGCGTCCCGAACTTTTCGCCAGTCTTGCGCGGGATAGGCTTCTCGGTCTTAGCAGTAACTAGGTGCGATTGGTAAAGCAGGATCCGTTTTGAATTTCGTGAACGAGCTGAAATGTACAATGCGAGTATATAAACTGATTATAATAATAAGCGAACAATCATTACAGTACTTTTTGTAGTAACTCATCGATGTTCGATAGTGGATATGCATCTCAGTACGTGAAGCTTAGGTGTTGTTTTTCACTATCACCCTTCTTTCTCTATCCCTTTCCACCGAGACTAGAGCTCGCCCGGTGTACTGACTGTTCAGCTATGTTACATTGTATCTTCTGGATCCTGGTGCGTATGAGCAATGCGTTACGGCAGTGACGCATCGGTGTTGAACACTGATGTCAAGCTGTTGATGATGATGATGATGAGCAGTTCGTCAGAGGGAGAATATTATCTCGATTTAATTTGATAGGCGGATGGTCTGGTCTAAGGTTCCCAAATTACGTCGTTGTCGATTTGTAAATAATATTGAATTTGCGGTGAGGAATAATGTGTCTGCACCCTCGAAGGGTGTCTACAGTTGTTTGCTTTGCTTCAGAGGGCTACTGTCATGAGTTTGTACGGTCAATCACGTAAGAAACGAATATTGGGCTCGGAATAGCTCATCCCTGGACGTACAGTGCCTGCGTGAGCGTAAGTGCAAATTGAGGCACCGTCAATGCAATGCGATGGTAATACAATGGACGGTAATTTCCATATAATCACCATACCATCTTTTGGCATGTGCCTAGCACATTAAAAGTGCAAAGTCATGCTTTATAACATGCATACTCAACGTGCCCGTTCACTGGATGTTGTGGAGAATTTTACATACATAGGTGGTTATATTAGCTCTGATGAAAGGGTGTCTGATGAAGTTGGTGCATGAATTTCCAAGGCCTGAATCACTTTGCTAAATTGTGTCACTTGTGGAGGAAAGGCTTCATATCATTGGGTCTCAAGGGTTGCTTATACCAGGTTACACTAAGAGCTGTGTTTTACTGTTGCGAAACAGGACCTCTGCGGAGAGATGATGTGAGGCTTTTGGTTTCAGGTTTTTGGGTAATTTATGTCAGGCTCGACTATCAGGACGTTTAAGAGAAGAATTTTGACGGTAATTCGCGACAGCATCTTGTCTTTTCATGTGGTCCGTGGATAAAATGACATCTGTGTAGTGATAGATTACCAGAAAATTGCCCCTGTTTTGAGTTTCGTTTTTTATAAATTTTACCTTTTTTGCGTCCCCGTCTGGTTTTCCACCATTTTCTGACCTAGTGCGACGGTCCCACCCCCGACCGCATGTCCAGAAAATAAAACCTAAGTGGTGAATGGAGTTGTCTGGTCGCATTTTTCTCTACTCTTGAAAACCGTACTTTTTCACCTTAATGAGCAAACTCTGGTGAACGGTTTTCCTGCTCTCAATGGAGTTAGCTTTTGTTACCCTAATACAACGTAGTCTTCGGAGCTCACCATGTTATTCTACTTGCCTTCGTTTCAGCCATGGGATCTTCTGAAGCTACGACCCGCCGAAGAGTGAAACTTTATATGCTAAACGATGAAAGGCAATGGGACGACAAAGGCACTGGGCACGTATCTGCTGTATGCACTGAACAGGATAATATGGCCCTTGTTGTTATCTCAGAAACTGATGGTTCCTATCTTTTGGAATCGAGGATACTCCCAGATACCGCCTATCAGAAACAGCAGGAGACACTCATCGTTTGGTCTGAAGGTGACAACATGGATCTCGCCCTCTCTTTTCAAGAAAAAGTTGGATGTGATGATGTTTGGGAAAAAATATGTGCGGTACAGGGTAAAGATCCTTCTGTCGAGATAACCCAGGAAGTCGTGGATGAATCGGATGACGCAGATGACACTGACGGTTACACACCAATTGTGATACAAAGTGTACAGCCTCTTCCACTCCCCCCATGTGAATTCAGTCATTTAGAAGAAACAGTCGATCTAATCATCCAAGCAGTCCTCTCACCACAGAAGCGAGAACGACTAGTGGTTTTGCTGGAATCTACAAACTATCTGAACCAGCTGGTAGATCTGTTTCATAAAGCCGAAGATTTGGAAGATTTGAAGTCCTTGCACCATCTGTACGAAATTATGCGACAACTTATTTTAATCAATAAACACAGTTTCTATGAGACGTTATTTGCTGAAGATATGCTTATGGATGTAATAGGCATGCTTGAGTACAATCCTGCTGGAAGGACGAAACACCGGGACTTTTTACGGAATAAGGCGACTTTCAGAGAAGTGATTCCTTTACGCAATACAGAACTTATCGGCAGAATTCACCAGACTTACCGCGTTCAATATATCCAGGAGTGTTGTCTCCCCCCTCCATGCTTGTTTGATGAACAGACTTTATCTCAGCTGAAAACTTTTGTTTCACTCAATAAACTGGAGATAATCCGTGCCCTCCAAGACGATGAGGAATTTATGTGTCGGCTGTTTGCCCGTCTAAAGTCACCTGACATTGACCTTGCTCATCGACGGGAGCTCTCCCTGTTTGTGAAGGAATTCTGTAATATCTCGATTCAAACTGAACAGAAGGAAAGTTTTCTCAGCTGCCTTTTTCAGCATGGGGCATTGAGAGTCGCAGAGGTTCTGCTTGCCATCAGTGATAAAGATATAAAGTCCGCTGCGTTGGAAATCCTGCAAGCATTTGTCGAACATCAGCCTTCTGCTGTCCGGGGTTATGTGTATAGGGAGACTGCTCCCACCCGAAAGGATGACGATTTACTCATTAACTTGATGATAAACCAGCTTTTGGCGGATTCCGATCCAGGTAAATTGTGGTTGAATTATCACACGCATTCATTAGAGTTGAGTGATGCGTTCATCCTTGGATACATGCTCCGTATTCTCATCGATCCCGATAATATGAATAACACGGGTGTGGTGAGTTTCTTTATTCCATGCTGTACAATGTTTCCACACCTTTAGTCTCACTGTCTTTTGTCTAGTATAAGGTCCCGTGGATACAGAATGTCCTTCGCACAGTGACCACTCGTATTCCCCACCGCTTTGTTGGTTGACACCAGTAGGAACCAAAGAAGTCCAGGTAAAGAGCAACTGCGTAACACTGCAATGCACGACAGGCAAATGAACACAACCCTTGTCATTGATTCTTGTTAGGTTTGTTAACAGAAGCTCCGCGTATAGTGACTGACTCTGCATATTCACTAGTTTGAGCTTGTGAGCAGCTACTGTCAGGACAAAATTTCAATTAGATATCAACTCATTTTTATGTCCACTGCATCAACTTTTGAACACAGTCAAACGCACCTCGAATGGTGAAATATATAGAGCTCTCTGTGGAATCACTATCCTAGAGATGGCTTATCTTGACCCACCAGATGTCTAGAAGCTTATTTTCCATGAACGAGATGCGTCCGCGGGCTTTTCACATGACCTGAAGGGGGAGGGGTAGCCACTCGGGCACATGCCTCTTCCTGTCGAAGTAGTAACCCGATCTCGTCATTGTTTTTCGCGTTTCCTACATTTATGTTTTCGGGGCTGAGTGTACAACTTTGTAATCTGTGGATCCATCGTTAGGCTTTTTATAACTATCGCCTTGTTTTTAGTCGGTGGTCTGTTTTCATCCTTTAAATGTAGCTTCTGTCGTTGTATTTAGGTCGGTCAGAAATGGGAGAGGGTTTTCAGGCCTTTTCGAGTGTCAATTATCTGTTTTTTGTTGATAAAGAGCTGTGCCTCCATTCGGTGCTTGACAGACGGCACGGAGGCCACAGTCCTTTACAGTTGCCTTCGCTCCGTTAGCACAGCCTAGATTAAATTGAGTACCAGTGGTAGTTTCTGTTTGTGTTCACTGATTGGCGTCAGTCATTTTGAGCAGTAGGTAATCAGGTATGTTTCCTACTGAACTTTGAGGTGAACTTCACATGCGTATAATCAAGTAACCCTTGTAGGGCTACATGTCAGGCTTCTGAGTAGGTAACACTACTATACTTATCTGTTGCTTGTTTACGAACGGCACCGTGTTCACTTTGAGCACATTTGGCTGGACCATTATAGACTCAAAAATAAGGGTGTTCGGTTCGTGGTGAGTTTTGTATTCTTATATGAATGCCATCCCCAGGTAAAGACAACTTATTCCTGAAATGGTTGATTGGACACCTGTAACCACAGTTTCCCAGCCTTTCTACTGTGGTTGACTAAACACTCCGATCCAGAACCTTGATGACGCCAATAGACCCATCCAAAACCAACACAACAGCCTTGATGTGAACAAAAAATGACCATCCATAACATCTTGGGGTATAGCTACCATACCACCCGAGGGAATTACGGGTGCTGAGATACTGCCAGGTTGCCCAGGCCTAGACAAGAGCCTTCGGGTCGGATTCGAAGCCCGGACCTTTCGGTCTGTAGTTTCTGATGCAGGGGCTTGGTTAGTACCCGATTACCTCCACAAAATATGCGTACCCTGTCTTGCTCGATACATACAGTGATTGGTTCAGTGAAATAGGGAATAAAGACACCTAAGTAGAACTGTTACCGGACTGCACAACAGACGCTGTGAACCCGGTATCTAATTTGTCGGTTGTTTCGGAATCATTCGTAGACAGCTACAATGACATCCCGAAAGAATAGGAGGCTGACTCCTCTGAGCGTATACTGTCTCCCTGATAAAGGCGATGTTCACGAATCAGATCATGTTACTCCAGGCTTTCCACTGAGCAGTCATATAAGCTGTTATCAGTGAATTTAGAATTGGTACTTTCATCCTACCATGATCTCCGTAACCGCTGGCGGCAAGCGTCTGATCACTGATCCTGTGTCTTTTAGTCTTCCGTACGTTCGAATGCACTGGGTTACTGAGGGCTGCTTCACGGGTTGCAGTCGGTAGTACTCAGCGAACGCATCTTCGAGGTCACTACCCTCGCAACGCAACCGTGTCCGCTCAAATAGTTCCTTAGGCGATTTCACCGCATTTGGGATCTCTGCCACCACGTGGCCTTCGTATAGTGAATTCGAAGCCCCACGCTTTCCCAAAGCAGAACATAAGTATACTGGGTTTCACGACAAAATGGTCGTTAGTCAATAATTGCCATCGGTTTAATGATTGTTCGAAATGATTATTTTTTCCTCTGCATATTTTGCTCATATTTTATTGACTTCGAGTAGAGCAGGCTTTCATAGCCATAGAGTATGCGGTAATTAATGTAGAATCAGAGTCAGCGTGACGTGAAGTGTCTGAAACTTTTGAACTTACCTTGAGTAGAGTGGAGGGTTTTGATTGCATGAAATCCGAATGACCAGTGATGCAGCGTTCGGCCAAAATGACAGCGAATTTAGATTCATTCACACTTTGTAATACATAAGAGAGCAGTTGAAGATGTGCTTCTTGAAATGGGTGTGGCGTTAGGCTCATTCTTATCGACATAACCAGTCCTCTGGTTATTTCAGCTCCACATCACCTTTGCGGACGGCGCATCCCAACTAATCCTCGATATAGTATTAATTGGTTCTCGACGTATTCATATCGACCAAGTGACCTAGGCTAAGTTATGGACTTACCTGGTGTATACGGTAGCAGGCATGAAGCAACAGAGCTGGACGTTAAAGCGAAGCATAACAACTGAGAATAATATGCGGAGACCAGTACCGTGTTTGGGAATTTGCGAGTTTTTGTTAGCAAAGCTCACTGATTTCTCTGTTAGGCTCTGTACTAAGTTTGTCGTATTCATCTCGATGTCCTTCTGGATGAAACCACTTGGGCCAGTATCGCCAGTAGACAAAAACTATAATCTGCATGATTCGGGCTCAGTCACCGTTCTCTGATGCAGTCAGTAGTATCGTTCAGTTTACACAAACCTGCGTGACCTTCAGTTGCATAAACATGAAATCCAAATGAAGTGTGAGCAGTTGACGCATTTCATGGTGTTTCTGTATTCTGTTTTATCTACCAAGCCACCTTTTCACCTTTCAGCGCGGGGAGAAAACCGAATTCCTTAGTTTTTTTTACAAGCGGTGCATCAACACTTTGGTACGTCCACTGTTTGAGAACACAGCAGAAGATATGTTACAGAAAGGTAAATCTTGATACGCCATGACTCAACATGATTGCAGATGATTATCATACCGCTCTCGTACTGAACCATGTACTGGAGCTGTTGACGTTTTGTATAGAAACTCATACCTATCACATGAAGAACTATTGTTTCAACCGCGACCTTCTGAAGCGTGTGCTCGTTCTTCTGCAATCCTCCCACAAGTTTCTGGTTTTAGGTAGGTTCTTTACATATCCTAACTAACTACTTTGTCCTCAGCTTCCTTGAGGCTCCTGCGGCGAGTGGTGCATATGAAAGAAGAATTCTATAATCGTTATTTGATTAAAAATAACCTATTCAAACCTGTCATTAAGTTGTTTGTGGCAAATGGTCATCGGTACAACCTGCTCGACTCCGCAATAATCGAACTGTTCGAATATATTCGTTCGGAAAAGATCAGTTCCCTCATAACACATGTGGTCGAGAACTTCTGGGATATTTTGAAAAATGTGAATTATGTTCAAACCTTCAGCGACTTGAAGCGGGTCTACGATCACAGCCACAGACCTACTAGGCCTACTCTAGTTGGTTCTGTCGGGCACCAAACCACCCTTGATGTGTGAGTTGATATTCCTTCCAAACTGTTTCATTCTTCATGTTCTGAGGAATCTTTTTCATGACTACCCAATCCTTAGTACCGGCGAATTGCTGCAGTAATGATTACTGAAAGCATTGGCCCTGTGTCCTGGATATTGATCACATTTATGAACGTCTTTGCCTATTGGTTGTATGTTACATAGTCAAGTAATATTTATATAGTTTACACCATCGATATTCTTAGATAATTTATCGGAGACCACTTTGCATAGTGCTTGTCGTATGTAGTACCGTATCTGTGAGGTTTTGAGAGACGTATGTTCGCAATGTTGTGGAATGTAGGTAGCTCGGGTGGGCTGTTTGGTTGTTGGTCTGTTCGCCGAGCTTGGCAGTTGGATTGCAAACGTTTCATCACCAATCGAGGTGCCAAGCTCGGCGAACAGACCAACAACCAGACATATGTTCTTTTACAAATGCAACGTGCAAGTGATTTCCCGCTTTTCCATTGCACTGAATTGTCATCTTCGGAAATTAACATACCTCATTTTATCTATCCTACTCACCCATTTCTCGCAGGCTGTCGCTGGTGAACGTCTCTAGTACCCGCTTTCAACGCGATGCACGTGCTCTAGAGATGGAGGAAGAACAATGGTTTGATCAGGACGATGATGATGATGAGGAAGACGAAGAAACCCACCTATTCCCGTCCCAGTCGACTCCACTTGTGAATGGTGCTGTCAACGGTGTCGGTTCTACCAATGCACTTCCGTCTAACACGATCACAGATGGGTTACCAACAATGCCTAGTTTTGAACCCCATCCAGTGGGCGCGGGAACACCCAGCTCAGAGCTTCTAGGAATTTCTGCGTTGACCTCCCAACAATCACCCTTCTCGCTCTCAATTTCACCTACCACTAGGGATTCTGTGTTTTCTCCTTCACCGTCCTCCACTGCTAGTTTGTTTAAAAGTGGTGTAGATTCTGAGGTGCTTCCTGTCGTCAGCCCTACCCGACCTCAAGAGTTCGCTGATAGTCGGTCTCGACACTCTGTTATCGATGAAGCACTTCCCTTAACTCGTCCTATTCCCCGCCAAACACTGCCGATTTCAATTCATTTGAAGTCCGAACTTCCTACATCGACGTCCCATGACAGCTTACATGATCAGGCTGCTTTGGTTTCTGACTCCACATTACGCGAGGAAGATTCGTCAGCTGATGTCCCCAATAAGGAGAAATCGTCTTCAGACGTAGAGGCTGAGGAGCCAACATCATCTATGCCCCACGCGTCAGAGCCACTACACGGCAAGCGTGCGGTATCTGCAGGTGAAGAATGCTTAAAGGCATCGAAACGGTCCAAGAAACCCCGAACTATTCTTGCCAACGTCCCTTCGTTGGTCCCCTCTGTCGCCAGTCTTTTTTCGGATGATCTCAATAGTTATTCAGGCACAACCAATCCTATGGATGTGCTCCCTAAGTCCCCAGTAAGTCATAGCTTCTCGTCTGCTCAATCAGTTTATTTCTTTCGATGCCGCTAGTTGTCAACAGATTAGCAGAACGCTTTTGATTGAGTGGACTATTGAGGAAAGCCTAAAATTATCACATACATCCTTTCGGAATGATGAGCAGTGCACATCTCGCGACGCTCAGGCATAACCTTTAACGAGTATCGCATGGTATCAAAAACCGCTCCACTTTAAACGCCTTGCTGCTTCTATGACTGTTGCTATTTCCATAATCAACTGTGTCATCCTAATAAACAGTGCTCAGGGTCATTTAGGCTGCCCGTTATTGGATTTTACCCGCCCTCAGTGTGTTCACCAAAGATAGTACTCGTCAGATTTACCGTCGACCCGTTTTTCATTGTAATCTATGTCAAATTGAGATGCGAGAAATGTATGCAACTATGTAGACAATCTAGGTAGCTCAGACAAAGAACTACAGTAACATTGGCATCAACGTCTTGCGCGTACACCACATTTGGTAATAAACCATTTGTGGTTTACGAGCTATGTGCGGGCTTCGGTGATTGGAACACTGTTGGCCGGCAGATCAGTTTCGGATTACGGCCGATCACCAACATTATGGTTGGAAACAACATCATTGCTTCACCGGGGTACAACCACGCCAACGATTTCGGGTAAAACCCCGGTGTCCAAAGATGAACGAAATAGGGGAGGAAAAGGACCAAAGGTAATCTGCCACTAGTATCCGAAGTACTTGCGCCTCCAACACGCAGTCAGACAATATGAATAGAAACTAACAACAGTAGAACCATTGAATTTAAGTCGGTCGTTATAGCTTTCACCATCTCCAGTGTAGCTCGGGAAGGGTCGCATGAACCCAAAGCATGTGAGTAGTTTACAGCCACTGCACATCTTTCATTCCGTTCTGCCAAATCAAACGTCGTTCACCCCCTCTGTTTACGCTAATTTAAATGCAGAATGTGATAGCTCGATACGCATAGTGCACCAACAAGCGGTTCTTGATATGGGATGCATTCCTGAAGTGAATTATTGTCATCGAAGACAAAAAGCAACCACCCAGCTGTTATCACCCTTTCGGTGCATAGCTGCCATGTCACCCGAAAGGAGCATGAGGGCTGAGTTACTCCCAAGTTACCCAAGCCCAGACGGAGCTGGGTTCGAACCGTACACCTTCTGGTCGAGCCGACTCATTTAATGCTCCCTATGGTCTAACCGGAATTACGAGAGTTGCGGTTGAGGACTGTACGCTCTTAAACATGGCCTTAGACGAAACGCTGCCCGAAGGATGGGCCAAGTTTTTTAAGGACGCCTGTGTTTCGTCCTCTGCTTCGAAGACGGGAACTTCACCATCCGCTCATTTCAAATCGACAAGGTTCTTGCCGATAATGGATCGGTCGCTGAAATTTTGGCGACCCTCAAACGTCCGTCCTGGTTGTACTGTAGATCCCACTAATGATAGGCCCATGCTTACACTTGAAAATAAGCACCATGATTCATTCACTCCGCTTATCTGGGACTGCATCTTCCCAGACAGCTAAATGTAATCAGCGCTGGTACGTATTTGAATTCCAGCCTTAAACAAAGCGGGTTGGGCAAGCAGCTCAGTAGCGTCTATGGGATTTCATACATTGGTATATCTCTGAAGCCTTTGAAAGCTACATCTTTATTGTCCAGTATTCAACAATACTGATCCGAATTCCACCTGGATAACAATCAATCAATTTATCAGCTATAAACCGTGTGTCATGGGCACATTGGTTCCAGCTTTCTACAGTTTCGATCACCGAAAACGGAAGAGTGGAATACAAAACCAAGCCTTGAAGGTGAAGGAATGCTCATTTTTTCGAGAACTACACTCATTTGCAAATCAATTTGGTTTTCACGAGAGACTCAACTGAATCTCTCATTTATGATTTTCTGCAACTGAATCTGCTGCACACAGGCCGCCTCGTTTTTCAGTTGGCACGATATTTGAGATATCGCATTGTATTTCCATAAAGGGAACTACTCACAAGGTTGACGGAAACCCGGGGACTGCGCCTACCTGATAAGCGAAACGGTCATGGGCTGTCGAAGAGTTTTCAGCGACCTTGTGTGTAATTTCCTTTATGAAAATGCTCAGTTTGTTCGGAAATCGGGTAGCTATGCATTGAAGGCGATAGCTTCGATGCACGGCGCCACTGACTGCGCGATTGGGCCATTTCCGCCAATGTCAATAACCACTGGTGATTTGAGTCCCGGAGTCCCCATCCAGGGAGGCGGTAGTTGCCCATCCTACTTAGTTCGTTGCCAGGTCATACATTGTCTGCCTCTCGGTCGCACCCACTCAGTACAGGGCTGGGCGAAAAGAGCTCTGTGAGGCAGACGATCTTCTGGCTTGCGGAGTACATGACCCAACCAACGCAGCGTGCGTAATTCGGCTGCCGCGGGAGAGTTCCTTCTTCCTAAGACCATTTGGCGTACCTCAGCATTACTAATGCCATGTCCCAACCAGACCTGACCAGTGCTTCGGAGTTGCCGATGGTCAAACACTGACATCTTCCGTACGTCCTCTGCGCGTAGAGGCCACTCTGATCCATAAATCAGTATGGATCGCACTATCGTAGTGTAAACACTTCCACCGACAGACAAACTCACGTCAAGTCAGCGTCATAGGTGTCGGAGGTTGGCAAAAGCTACCCTGGCTTTCCCGATCCGACAACTAATCTCATCTCTAGCCAGATCACCGGAACCTATACAACTGTTCCGGTAAACAAATTTATTCACCACTTCGATTAGCTCGGCTATAAGCATAAGGTTTGGGTAGCACTTTGCACTCTGCAGGTGTGAAACGTGTGCCAAAACAGGCAGCCGAGTTACGTAAGTTATTTAAAATCGTTTGCATTTGAGAAAGGTCTGAACCAAGGAGAGCAATATCGTCCGCATACTCTGTCCGTGAGGGCACGTCCCGGGAGCATTTCGACTCTCGAGGTTTCAGAGGCAGGCAGGGAAATTTCAAGCAAGATATCAATAACACAATAAAGTGGGAGGATGTAAGGTTTTGTTCTGGGACCCTGACCCCAGCCTTTGACTCAAGAGTCTAGATCGCGAGACAGTGGCTGTTAGGCCTTCCTTGGGGGACCCTTTCCGGAGCCAATGACTTGTAAGGTTTCTGGGACCCTGACCCCAGCCTTTGACTCAAGAGTCTAGATCGCGAGACAGTGGCTGTTAGGCCTTCCTTGGGGGACCCTTCCTTTAGCCAATGACTCAATAGTCACTTGTCTGTGGGGGTCGGCCTGGCCCGGGGGCACAGGGAGTAGGGTATTACTGTCTCCTGATGTCGCTGCTCACATCAGGTGCCTTTTGTGCAGCACTGAGCTCTTTTGTTTTAAAAGTATCTCGACCGTATTGAATAATGCGCCGGCAACCGTTGGGCGATCGAAGTGTGCGGTTTCTGGGGCCGACCTTTTCTAACCCGTCCTTCTTCAGGGGAAGACAGTATCGCTGCTTCCATAAATATGGACATGCTGGTCGCCTTCATACTTTTATGTTGGAGGATAGTACGACTTTACCTCCAGACCGCTTCTCGATACGGTTACTCGCAATACGGGGATTCGCTGTTCTTCGTCGGGTTGCTCCCCGTTGACCTTCCTGGCATGGTTGAACCTTTAGGAACTGAGTTTCAGCCAGTGTAGCCCGCAGGATCATTGCAACACAAAAGCCCGACCACCACGACCACGAGGAGTCGGGCCTGGATAGCAGTGGGTGTTCAGCTGAATTGCCACTGAAAGTGTACGGTTCCACTGTCCAGGTGTTGCTATTTTTTGGCGAGGCATGTAGACATTATATTTTGTCACACATATGTGAATGACAAAGGATAGTCCATAGTCCAACAATGGAAGATGCCTGTGAAGTCGTCGTAACAAAGCATGGTTCCTCTGGTTGTCATTAGACTAAGTACATCTAAGTACAAATAACCAATAGTTTTGTGTGCTCTGGGTGACATGCAAACTCATGGCTTAGGCGGAATCGGTCGGGTTCCAGACTTACATGAATTCCCACGGCCTCAGCAGTCGATAACACTTCGTGATAGGTCTTTGAGGGGTACTTTCCGTTTGGCGAGCATACTGCGGTAGCGCTCGGCTTAGGGTTTTTCCATGGCCTAGTGAAATGGGACCATATTTACGCATTCTTCTCAACAAACGTTCTGTCGCACAGCCAACGTATGATGCTCGACCCGACGCAAATGAGTACGCGTAGCAGGTATTGGTGGATTTCGGCACTTGGGATTTAGTGGCATGGGTAGAACTGAAACTGAAGCATATGGTAGCGGCGTTTTGTGTGAGAACAACAATATACCTTAGTCTTGTAAGCGGGGCTGCCATAGAATCTCTTTAAAATAGAAGTCGGACACGATCATTTATTTTTATTTTTTCTTAGGGTATCTTCGGTTCTAGTTTCGTGGACTACGTAGTTTTTGTCATGTGTCTTATGTAGCCATTTATGGTAACTACTTCCTCTACAAACTTCCATTCATCATATCATATGTTGTTCGACGTCGTTTTCGGTTTCATTTCATTTCCTGTTCAACAGACCTGTCGAAGCGAATGTATTGTCCTGCTCAGGTCTGCTTCCCGTATACTTTGCAATGAGTACTCCTATCTTCTTACGTATATCGACATCAATGAAATTCCGCTGTCCATTGCGTTTAGGCATCAGTGTAAGGTAGTTATCAGGATAACCAGAGTTTGAGAGTTCTAAGACAGTTGTGCAGTTGACCTCATTACATAAATATCGTTTACACAGCTCCAGTAGACTGAACTGTTCATTGAGTAGATTTAGTAATCGGGCCTCGAATCTGCTAATCGAAAACTATGCGAGAAAGGAACCAGGCCGTGATCTCATTGTGATATTATTTTTGTGTAGCTGTGAAACTGAATTGGACACTGTGGGTAGATAGCAGAAGTACTTTAAGGTTTGAAATAGGAAGGTTGATGTTTCTGTCACGGCACCCATTC